AGAAAGAGAGAGACAGACACAGAGACGGAGTCAGAGAGGCAGCAATATGAGGGGTGGGGAGGCAAACTACTTTCCTTGTACACTCATTGGTCAGAAATCTTTATTTGGTAAGAATTGCTGAAGAGTTTGCATATTCTGGTTTAGCTATAAAAAACTCCTATCTGTTTATCTTACACTCCCATCTAGTGGAAAGGAGCATATTCTTCTCCTACAGTATGTTCTCTTCACTCTTGTTCTTTGGTTAACAAAAACAATGTAATTAGTCATAAAACTATCGCACTGCTTTTGGATCAAGTTCCAAACATACCTTCCTGAGAGGAAACAGGTGAGGTAGGGATTTAGTTCTTAATAGATAAAGAGATGTTTCTATGGCTATGCTTCTCAATAATTAGCAAAGCGATTGACTAAAGAAGGAAGTAGTAATGTTACAAGGATATGTGATGGATGCTAGGCTTCCTTGGAAACGTTCATTATCCAGCTCTACACCAGTACAACATGTACACCACAAAATAAGGGGAGTCAGATTTTTAGAATTTTAAAGATAAATAGAAGAGTAGGTGAAATAAAGCCTGCTGGCTTCCAAAGCACGAGCTATGATGACAACCTGTAGCATGGTTAAATAAGATACCTACCATGAAAGTGTTATACAAGAGGGTGCCAAAAAAATGTATACACATTTTAAGAAAGGAAAAAAAACTGTATTAAAATTGTAATAATATATACCAATAACAAAAGATGAATACAAGAAATGTGGGGGCTGGCCGAGTGGCTCAATTGGTTGAGTGAGTGCGAGCTCTGAGCAACAGGGTTGCCAGTTCAATTCCCACATGGGCCAGTGACGCTGCGCCTGAGCTGAGCTGCTGCTGAGCTGCCAACAGGTGGCAGGATGGCTCAGCTGGTGCGAGGACATGCTCCTAACAATCAGGTAGCTGGTTTGACTCCCACATGGGATGGTGGGCTACGCTCACCCGCAACTAAGATTGAACACGGCACTTTGAGCTGAGCGGCCGAGAGCTGGCAATGGGTGGCCAGATGGCAACTGGACTTGGGGCTGAGTTAGCTGCGCCCTCCACAACTAAGACTGAAAGGCAACAGCTTGGCTGTTCCACTCCCCAATTCCCCAACACTGTTCCCCTTCCCCAATTCCCCAATAAAAATCTTTAACAAACAAAAAACAGAAATGTGTATACATTTTTTGGCACCCCTGGTATACAGAAAAGTATATTAACCAATGATATAAGAGCCATCTCTATACTTTTTCTTCTTATTTATCTTGGTTATTCTTGGAAGATTCACATTCTGAGGAAATCTGTTTTCTCTACCCACCCCTTCACCCACCCCTTCACCAATAAGGATATAACATATCCTTATTAAGCAAGTATAAAGCAGGTTAAAATACACCAGTAGCAGCAGTGAGAGAAAAGTAGCAGCTAAAGAAGTTATACTGTGCTCCAATGTCAGCTTTCTGAGTCGTGAAACCTATGATTGATTCATTATAGCTTTTCAGATCACAAATATAAGCCTTATGTGCATCCTCACTCCAACATGGCGACCTGCCGTAACAGAGCACTTGGCAGGAATATGACTCAAAAAGGTAGAATGGTTCTTTCAGCTGGAGTTGTCATCACTGAAGCAGATGGAATGACCACACACCTTCCAGACCCGTTACACTGGAGCTCCATTTGTACAATAAAAAGGGAAAGCTACAAACCACTACTTAAGAAAGAAACCTATAAAGTCTGGGCCAGACGCCAAGATCTATCCATTGTGGAAATCTGTGGTGTTTACTTCTAATCTAGTTCAAAAATTGTTTTAGATCCTCTTCAACAGTGTTTTATACTTGAATATCTCATATTTAAATTGGAAATTTTTATTTTTAGAAATATCTTTTAAGAGCTTTTAAAGTCATTTGGAAGATACCCGATAAACTTATTAAAAAGAAAACCTTATTGAGAAATTGGGGCAAAAGTGGATACTGTTATCTAGGTATCCAAAAGAAGGCATGAGAATGAATGGGACTTTTCGCACATATTTCAGTCTATAGCCCAGATTCCATCCTTCTTAGGAAAATGAAGGACTTTATGAAAGCGGTTTTATGCAAAATGAAGACAAAAACAGGGCATATGCTAGGGGCTATGTTTATAAGGTTGGTATAGTATCCTTCCTCAGATGACTCATAAATAATTTTTGATGATATATGTAGATCTAAATAGTTTATGTTCATTAAATTCATTTGAATTATAGAAACTTGATAGCACTTTCTCAGGAGTATATAAATCAATTTCCATACTTAAGCACACTTGCCAAATCTAAATCCTCCTCTCCATGGATTGTTAACCAAAATTGTGTGGGAAAAAGAAGAAGGAGAGGGATTCAGAATTTAGTTTAAAACAGGCTTTGTTTTATGACTTGAAGAGGCGAAGGTAGACTGGTAGACTGGAAAGCTCTCAGGTTTGTACTAAAAAGTGCATTGTACAAAAAAGTTTGCATGTTAAACCATACAAAGCTTAATGTGCATCACAAATTAAAACTGTATACTCACAATTTTACATTATAACTTAAGAGTTCTTGTGTTAATCCCAAGACAGTACCGAAATTTACCAAAACCACTGCCTCAGAAAAATACATAGATTTAGTTTCAAGCTGAAGGCAGTCAAGAAACTATCCCTCATCCTCCCAAAAGAGCAATGATTTTTTTGTACCCCTATTTGTAAAAATTATTATTTTTACAAGACAAGTAGTAGCAAGAGGAGTGCTCTGACTCGCTGCCAGCATTCACAGTGATTTAAAGCATGGTCATGGCACAGCTACAGACCATAATTTTAAAAGAGTTGGAAGCTGCCCCTTTATAACAGGGATACACATATATGGACTGAAGCCTGGGCCTCTGTTATAGAATACAACAAAGACATTAATCCATTTATGGTGTGGAATTTTTAGTTTCAGCCAGCTCTAAGCCAATCAGAAATTCTCTGAACAGATGTATGCTACATGCACGTAACACTTTTCTTGTAAAATGTAACTATTTTATTGGAAGGCATTATCAAAGACAGAAGAATAATCCTATTGTGTGTATGACAAATGACCTATGGCTCCAATGTTACTACTATGCTTTCAACATGCAATAATTGGCTATAAACTTCTTAAAATCTTGGGTTTATGTCTTGCGTTTCATAAATATTTGTCATCTCTAAATATTACTTGAAAGTGTGCCCAGAAGGTAGGAGTTCTTATTTAGTACGTGTCAGGCATCCTCCATCTTTTATTCTCTCTAGTCTTATCATCACTGGGGCATTGAGAAGGGGAGCTATAGATAAATGACCCCACTGTCCACAAAGACATCCATGTCACAAAAGCACCACTTAGAGAAGACAGCCTGCTACAGTCTGAAGGTCACTGGTCATGAGAGTGTAAGCATGGGTTCTTGTTTCTGCTCTGCCATGTAGAAGGGTGGTGGTGGTAAGGGAGGTTCTGGCAAGCTTTGGGTCCAAATTCCAGCTCTGCCATCCTTAACCCATGCCTTTGGTAAGTTATTTAACTTTCCCCAGGCTCTGATTTCTCATCTATAAAATGGTTCAACTGCCACTTATCTCAAAGGGGATATGAGGATTAGGTACAACTGGGTACATGAAATGCTGTGGTGGGCAGTATTTTAAGATGGTCCCTATCACCTTCACCCCCTGGTGTCACTCATGATTATGTTATTTTATATGGCAAAAGGGAGATTACCCAGATTTGCCTAATCTAATCACGTAAACCCTTGAAAGGCAATGAGCTTTCTCTGGCTGGGGGCAGAAGGGGAAGTCAGAGAGGTCTGAGGTACAGAGGATGCTAAGCACTGTTGTTGGCTCTGAAGATGGAGGTGGCTGTGTGCAAAGGAATGTGAGTGGCTTCTAAGAGCTGAGAGCAGCCCCTCGCTGACAGCCAGCAAAGAGATAGGGACCTCAGGCCTGCAACCATAAGGAAATCAGTTCTACCAACATCAGGAATGAGCCTGCAAGCAGATTCTTCCCCCAGAGTTTCCAAGGTAAGAGCCCAAGCTGGCAAACACTTTGATTTCAGCCTTTTAAGACCCTAAGCCGAGACTCCAAATAAGCCTGCCCAGGCTTCTGACCTAAAACATAAACAGATGTTGAGTTAATTGATGTTTTACCATGTCTGACAATTAAGTTCACGCCTTGTTGCAACAATGTTGTTAACCTTTTTTCATATCAGAGGGATTATTCATTATGAATTTATACCAGCTGCACAGTTAACCAAGTTTACTGTTTGGAAGTGCTGAAAAGGCTGTGTGAAAATGTTAGATGAAAACGACCTGAACTTTTCACCAACCATTCATGACTCTTGCATCATGACAATGCACCAGCTCACAGGGCACTGTCTGTGAGGAAGTTTTTAGCCAGTAAACAAATAAGTGTATTGGAACATCCTCCCTACTCACCTGATCTGGCCCCCAATGAGTTCTTTCTTTACCCAAAAATAAAGGAAATATTGAAAGCAAGAGATTTTGATGACATTCAGGAGGACATCAGGGGTAATATGATAACAGCTTTGATGGCCATTCCAGTAAAAGAGTTCCAAAATTGCTTTGAAGGGCGGACTAGGCGCTGGCATCGGTGCATAGCTTCCCAAGGGGAGTACTTCGAAGGTGACCATAGTGATATTTAGCAATGAGGTAGGTAGCACTTTTTCTAGGATGAGTTCGTGAACCTAACTGTCAGACCTCGTAAAGCTGCTAAATTTGTAGTAGCTCATTATGCAGCAACAAAAAACTATTACAAGTGCTTATTGGTGTGCAACACATAGGAATGTTCATAAACTACATTTCTTATTAATAACTCATAAGCTCAAACAAATCATTTTAACTTCCTTGGGTTTTATAGATCTTTGATCTGTAAAATGAAGTGTGGCTCACTGACAAGTTCCCCTCTAAACTCCCACAAACTAAGGACTCATTTCTAGCTTTCGCCACTGCTATGACACACCTTGAATGATCAGGCATGCCTGCTGGGTCTCTTCCACTCATCTCCAGGTCCATTCAACACCCTTCATTACCCTATGCTGTGCCCTAGGAGGCTGATGTCCCAGAGCTGCAGCGGTGGGCTACCTGGTCCGAGCAATGGCAGGTCTGAGTGATGAATAGTCAGGTCTGAGTATTTATTTCCCGACTTCCTACAAGTGTACCAAGTGCTAAGGGGGAAAAAAGTCATACTTTTACTTTGGGGGAGGCGGTGTGTGGAAGCTGGGGAAGAGGGTGCTATGGACTGAACTGTGTCCACCACCTCAAATTCTTATGTTGAAGCCCTAACCCCCAGTGTGGCTGTATTTGGAGACAGAACTTTTAGGAGGCAATTCAAGTTATATGAGGTTATAAGGGTGGGGTCTTCGTCTAACAGGACTGGTGTCTTGATAAAAAAAGGGAGACAGGGATGTCTTTCCTTCCATGTGCACACTGAGGAGATGCCACGTGAGGACATAGCAGGAAGGTCTGCCAACCAGGAAGAGGCTCCTCAGCAGAACCCAACCCTGCCGGCACCCTGATCTTGGACTTCTGGCCTCCAGAATTACAACACAATAAATTCTGTGCTGTTAAGTCACACAGTCTATTGTGTCTTGGCGGAGAAGCCTAAGCAGACAAATACCCGGGGAAAGGAGACTTGTCAGAGGTAGTTTGGAGCTGAGACGTGAAGGATGGGAAGGACTCCTTGTTTCCCGGTGGTGAGATGTAGGCCTTTCCAGCAAAGGAAACACGTGACAAAGTACAGAAATGGCAGGGGCAGCCGGTGGCCAGCAGCTGCAGCACAAGGTGCCAGGAAGGAAAGTGGGGCAGGAGACTGGAAAAGCCAGCTGAGGCCAGATGAGGCCAAGACGTACCTCCAGGACCACGTCTCGCGGGACAGCACTGAGCGGTTAAGCCCCTGGGAGTACAAAGACCATTTCTGTGGCTGTGTGCAAGGACAGACTGGTTTAAAGTGGAGAATAATTTAGCTCTTTCACACTGCGCCTCATGAAGTCATAAGGGTCCTATAAGTCAGGGTCGCCGAAAAGACAGAGAAGGAGGCTAAGTGGGCAGGTCCCGGGCCCCTGTCCACTTCAACCACAGCAGTTCGGTGGCTCTAGGCTAGACCTGGAATTTTCGTTACACTCAAGACAACCAGCCTAGTGTTTGACTTCAAAGACTACGGAAAAATGGCTCACCCAGCGGTCCAAGGCACCTGCCCTCCAAGCATTCCATTTGCGGTGGAGAAGTCAGGGAATTATCAAGAATTCTGAGCAAAATGTGTCTGGAGTCCTGCCTGGCAGAAGACAGAACTAATAAGTCATCCCATGTGGATGGACCCAAGCTAGACTGCAGGTCATGCCAAAGCCCCTTCATGGCTTCCATGGGCTTTCATGGCTCTTAACAGATTCTCAGACCATACGCAGGCAAATACAATAAATGACTGTGGAAAAAAAAAATTTTTTAAGTGGTTTTCATGCTACAGAGATCTACTCTTGTCTGTCCTATTTTTATCTCACAATATCAGATTATAGTGACCTGCAATAGAAAAATAATAGAGCAAATAAAAATTACTATTAACCAACCTTCTGCTTTAGAGAAAAGAGGCTATCACTTAAGAATAAGCTTTAAAAGTCTCATAGCAGCTTTGGCATCCATGTAGCCAAACTAAAAAGACTATTTCAAGGTTGTAAAGTAAGAAGTTGGCCCAGCAGAGGGCAGTGCAGCTCTCCACAAAGCCTCTGTGAGACCAGGACAAAGGAGTGTGTATTTAGGAGCTGAAATATTCTAATCCATGAAAACCATTTATAGTGTCTAGTGACTTTAATTTCTTAAAACATGGCAGACGTTTTGCCTAACTGCTATGTCCCTTGAAAAGGTAGCACTAGGAAGAGCTCTGAAAGTCTTGTAATTAAAAAACTACTGGAAAATGTTAGCTCCCTGCAAACAGAGAACTCTATCATCATTTCTGGGCGGGCTGAGGGTTCCACTGTCTTCACTGTTTAGCACAACTATCTTTGTTTCCTAAATCTTACTAAATAAGCTAGCTTTTATAAAAGCCTAATATCACAATTTTTTTTTTTTACATTCTCCTTTAACTTATGCTGTACGCAGCCCCAATACTGATGAGATTTTTTTCTAGAAAGTTCCCTTGGAAATGGGCAGTACAGAAGTGGTTCTCAAGTGAGATTCGTTCTAACAGGCAGCTACCAGCCTAACAATGTAGAACTGATTCTCTTTATTTTTTATGTCTAACAATAACGTGCTGATTCTAGCTCTGAACAGACCTATGAACTACTGTTATGGTCCTGACAGCCACTGATGAGCAATATTTATGTTCTTCCTAAGAACAGGTTTTAATACCTATTGTAGGCTTACATGATATACAATATTACTTTTTAAAACCATGCAAATAAGATCTATACAAAGTTCACATTTTTGATCCACTAACATTTGTCCTCCATATACACAGGCACTTGATTCAAATCAAGACACTGGCAATGAATTATTATTTTATCATTATTATTATCTGAAATTCAAGTACTTCAAAGTTTTCAGTGGTAATTTACAGCTGAAAATTTTGAAGAGACCCAGATTCAAGTCCATTTCCTGACAATCTGGACATGAACGCTCAATTCATCATTCATATCTGTTGTTTATTACAAATATACAGACAAG